GGGGGAGGGGGCCCCCACGTGTGCCACAGTGCGCTCCTTGTCCGCCTGTGTGTAGGGTCAACCCCGGGTGGCCGTGTGGCGGGTGTGTGCGCGGGGGAGGCCCCAGACTGGCCTGTCCCCTCGTCAGGCCCTGGCCTTTGCTGGGCCCTGGCCACAGGCCCGCTGTGCGGGTGCTGTGCTGCTGCAGCCCCGGTTTCGGTTTGGGCCTTTGGGGCTCTGGTCTCCGCCTGGGCAGGTGGCGGCCGCTCCGTCCTCCTTCCCGGCCTCTGCCCTGTGGCCCTATGGCCCTGTCCGCCCGTTTTAGCCCTATAGCCGAATCGGGTTTACTACACCATGATCATCATGCAGTTTTTCTACAAGAAGAAAACAAGAACCAACTTTAACTGAACCCCCTCCCCATCAGGCTCTTCAACCCAAGCTCAGTTTGTCCCAGCACCTGCTGGAACACTGCTGAGGGTGAACCCCTGAGAGGTGCCCTCTGCCCTCTCCAGGCCAGCAGTCCCCACACCAGCCCAGTGGCTGTGGCACAAGACCACTGCTGGTGAGGACAGCACATTCGGGGGCGTCCTGGGGGTTCCTCAGACCCAGACTCTGCTATGCTACTCAGCCATGTGGGCTCAGCCACCACAACCCACCTCCAGGCCCCCGAGCCAGCGGGCACCACTGGGATTCAGCAGCATGGCACCACAGCCCACAGCGAGCACACCCCCGTTTGCCAGCTGGCCGTGCAGACCCGCCCTCCCCGGCCGTCCCGCCATGTTCCCACCGAGTGGGTGCAGGGCAGAGTGTTCCGCACGTTTCCTGCAGTCTGTGCCCTTGAGACACCAGTGCCCTGGCCCTCCCTGTGGTGACTCGGCCACCGCTGCCCAGCTCACCTGCTCTCTGCGCTGAGACCAGCGCAGTCTGAACTGCCTGGCCTGGGACTGAAGCCCGGGGCAGGACCCCCCACGCCGGCGGGGGTACCCACCGTCAGCGTCCTCCTGGCCAGGGTTGAACACCAGCCGGCAGTTGTCCCTATCATCGGGGACCCCGTCGTTGTCATCGTCCGAGTCGCAGGCGTCGCCCTGGCCGTCCTGGTCGTGGTCGGCCTGGTTGGCGTTGGAGATGTAGGGGCAGTTGTCCTGGTTGTTCTGGTGGCCGTCTTCATCGATGTCCTCGTTGTTGTCACACTGGTCTCCCACGAGGTCGTTGTCCACGTCGGTCTGCAGTCAGCCCGTGGGGAGAGGGCATCAGTCAGGCGGTCACCGCCAAGGCCTTCGCCCCCCACAGCCCTGGCCAGGCGAGGTGGGCACAGCGCCCAGAGCAGGGCCGCACGCCGCCGCACAGGCTCAGGCCGCACCCACAGCTCCCGTCGGCCCGGGCACGGTGGAGGGGGCCCCCCGGGGCAACGGGGGGAAGCCCTGCGGGGCACCGCTGCCCAGGGCCTGAGAAGCCCACAGAGCCCATAGGCCCACGGACGGTCGCGGAACCCATGGGGCCACCGAGGGCACGGGCCACGGAGCCACCGAGGGCACGGGCCACGGAGCCACCAAGGGCACGGGCCACGGAGCCACCGAGCCACGGAGGGCACGGGCCACGGAGTCACCGAGCCACGGAGGGCACGGAGCCACCAAGCCACGGAGGGCACGGTCCTGGGGCTGCACGGACGCCCCCCGCCTGCCCCCGGCCTCTCAGCTGTGCACACGCGGCCAGTGCCTGACCGCCCAGCCCCGCTACCTGGTCAGGGTTGTGCATCAGCGGGCAGTTGTCACAGTGGTCACCCACGCCGTCGCCGTCTGTGTCTCGCTGGTCAGTGTTGTACACGTAGGGGCAGTTGTCCCGCTCGTTGAAGACGTCTGTGGGCGCACGGGCAGAGGCAGCAGGGGTCAGCCAGCTGCCCTCCTGCCCCGCGGTGGCGGCAGCTCACACGGCAAGCCTGGGCCGGGCCGACTGACCGTCCCCGTCGATGTCCACCGAGCAGGCGTCGCCCTCCCCGTTGTGGTCGGTGTCGATCTGCGCGGGGTTGTGCACGTGGGGGCAGTTGTCACAGCGGTCCCCCACCTCGTCCCTGTCGTAGTCCAGCTGCCGGGGGTTGAACAGCAGCGGGCAGTTGTCCTAGAGAAGGCGAGAGGGGATGCCAGGCGGGCCGGGCCCTGCGGGACAGGCCGTGCCGGCGGGGACGCGCCTGCTGCCCAGCGGTCACCCAGACGC